TGGGGAGCCAATGACAGTTCCAGAGCTGTGCAAAAGCACTGGATCTGGCCAGAGCCCAAACCGACCAGCTGGTGAATTCAGAGAACTCTGCGCAGAGGCAGAGCTCCAGCAGAAGCCCACACCAACCAGCTGGGAGCTCAGCTTCCTGCCACACAGATGAAGGGTGTGTGGCCACAGCTCCTTCACTCCTCTCCTGGCCGGTATGGAGAAAACATACAAACATCTTCACAATTTTCAAAAAAATGGTCTAAAATTAGTCCAAAGTCTGGCACCTGTCCAGGAATTCCTCTGTCAATTCAATTGGGTTTAGTCACATTTTCCCAGTTCAAAAAACAAAACAAAAACAAAAACCTGCCCTCCCCAGCCCACTGCTATGTATGATAACAAAGTTAACGAAGAGGAAAAGGCAGTAAAAGACCCAAACCTGCTAATAAGCTTACGCTTAACTTTCATTTTTGGAACAGGGCTACTGAAGTCAATGAAACTACCTGCTTATTTATCATTAAGTACATGTAGAGGCATTTGCTGGACTGGAGCTTAAATGACTGACTAGAATACAAAATCTGATCACAAAGTGCTTTAAAATCTATATAATTTTATGCACACACATCTGAATAGATGCAAGGTTTTTTTTTTATTTTGATCTGTTCTAGCAACCTTGGTTTAGCTTACAAAAATGATCAATAAGGTATTGCACACAGGACTGTGATTTAACGGTGTCCTTATAAATAGCTCTGGATAATACAAGAACCCTTACGTTCTTTCATCAGTTACGAATCTGACCAAAACTGCAATCACATAATTTAACAAATGTTTTCATCTAGATCCAAAAAGGAATAAAATATATTTTATAGAGAAGTCTTTGAATAAATAACTTTTTATAAGACTGAGCGTGTCTACATGAGATCCTATATCACCATAGCAACATGCTACAGCAATGTAGCATCAGTGGGCACAAATTGTAATGCCACAGCTACGTTGCTGTAGTGATGCACTCCCTCGCTATAGCGCATCATTATGGCGATGTAGCAGATAAAACTAACCGTGCGCCACTGGCATGGTGCAGTAACAGCTGTTACTAAAGGAAGTACTAAATGATGGTGCAGTAACAATGGCACAGTAACAATGATGCCATAGGGGCATATGTAGATGTGTGCACAGAAAAGCAAAATTTATATTTTTACAGGCCAGCGTTATTGGCTCTCCTTATGTAACATCTCTATGCTATTAATAACTATTACCTGGAAAAGTAAAGAAAAGTATTAAAAGCAGGTGTCTGTCATGTAGATTAAAGTTCCTTACCATTCATGTAACCCTTCAATGTCAGTGGAAAAACACACTGACATTGTGGAAGAGGGGAAGGGGAAGAGGTTCTTGATTAAACACTCCTCATTGAGGAGGTATTTCTCAAACAAAACTGATCTTCTGGAATCTAAATTTTGAATTTACATACAAAGGTGTAGATTATGCCTAGAAATGCCCAGGTTTACACTGTTGAGGAAGACTGCAAAGTCCCTTTGCTTCCTTTCCTCTTGATTAGCCATGCTCACCCTTACCATTGAGCCCATGGACATGTTAATGCAAGATAATCCAAAGGTCCTCACACTAACACTTCTGCACAAGTTTAGGCACTAAAAACTGGAAGGAGGCACAGCATGCTGCATCTCCCAGAAGCAGTTTTAGGAGCTGCCTCTCAGCATGCTCATTGGGTGGCACAAGAGGCATTCTGCCTATTTATTTGTTGTTTGGTAGCAACCTGGAGCTGCCACGTCAAGACACAGCTCATGGTCTTTTCCCTGCTACTTCATTTTTCAAATTGAAGTTTCTTATGACAATCACAACAAAATGACAACACCATAAAATAAAATAAGCCTCCTAAAATGTGAAGCGAAGCAAAGTGATTGATATATATGTCATTTCTGATTGTGTACAGAGAGTGTTCTTTAGGGAAAAGTTTAAAAGAAAGCTCCCCAGTTGAGCAGAAGTTCCTATAAGGGATATGATGTTCCCATCAAAGCTGTTGAAACCTGATTTTATTTCAGGGTCTGCAACTAAATTTTTTTAGTAAATAGATTTAAGCTGTCAATTTCCAGGCATGCTGTGCCATCAGCATGTAGGGACTGCTGTGACCAACGTGGAGGCTGTAACAGCAAATTTTATTATAGACTGGTAATTGAATTGAACAGGTTTACATTTGAATAGATTTACTGCAGCATGATCTCTGACATGCTGCATGGGACTGAAATCCTTGCCTATACATAAAGACATGTTTAAGACATACTGGGCCAAATTCAATCCCCTGCAACTCCATTCCAATCAATGCAGTTACACCTGGGATATGTTTGGACCTGTGTCTAATTTACCCTTTGCACTGGGAAGCCAGTGAAAATCAACTGCATATAATCTAACCTAAAGGAAATAAAATATTACCATCTGTCTTGCTTTAAAGCAGTATATAAAGGACATTGTCAGGACTGACACATCCAAAATTTGATCTATCCTAAACTAAAGCTCATACTCAAACGTCCCACAGTAGGAAAAAAAAAACAACCCTAAATCTCCCTTTAGGAAGAAAGCATCAGAGGTAGGCTATATATCAGTCTAGTTCCTAAACATTCAAACCCTTCCTGCCAAACAAGTGAAGAAAACTGAACTCTCCTTCCACTCTGTTTGGGTTGTCCCTCTAGGTCTTGGCTGAGCTATACAGGGAGAGGAGGGTACAACCCCCTACTTTTGCTTCACCTGTTTTGTAGAAAGAAGGCTTCAGTCTCTTTCACTGACAATCCAGTCTTACTCATGAGCATTATATTTAATAATTAAAAACAGATAAAAATCCCTGTGTGTCTTCTGGTCAACCCACCCACAAGAACCATCTTTCTATAGGCAGAGAACAATAAAGAGGAAAATGGAAAAACAATGGGTCTTTCAGTGGCTTGTCAACAGAAGAACTTCGTTTTTTTGAGAGGATAGCACCCTTCGCTCAAAAGGGACTTTTAATGCTAATCCTTAAAAAGGTAGATTTTAGATAAGTTAAATTTTAGCCAATCAATCTTGATATTGTTCTTTCCTTTCTACAGCCTTATCTTTAAGTTGTCTCTATGAAAGATAAAACATTAAAAGATTGCTGTATTATTAAAAAATGAGGCACAATAAACTCTTGACATTCTGAGGTACAATTTGAGGACTGATTTACTCCCATGACATTGATTTCAGTTGTCTACTTACTGTTCAAATGTGAACCCAAATTGTGTACAAGCAAAGAGGAGAACTGAACATGAATAGTCATTTTCAAAAATAATTACTTGATTTGCACGTGTAGTCATATTAGATACTCCTGTAAATTATGCATGTACAATTGTGTAGCCAACATTTAAGAGTCAGGTTCTAAATCAGTTCATCCATCCAGATACTTTCTAGTATCATTCTGTTCTTCCCTATAGAGAACAAGTTCTATAATATGCTTATATTTCAAGTTATTAGCAATATAAGGTCTGTTTTGTTGACAGAAGTGTTAAATAGCATGGTGTCATACATACCCAACCATTTCTTTCATTTTTCAGCTTGCCCAAACCTTCCATTTTGGTCTCTGTGTAAGGGATTTTAGTGGTGGAAGCAAATTAGGTTTTTTTACAAGTAAGGAAATTCTGAATCAGCACTAGAAAAGAGGGCCAAATCCTGTAGTCTATACTGAAGCAAAACCTCCACAGAATTTGACAGGAATTTTGCTTGCGTCCAGCTAAGGACAGCAGGATTTGGCTCACAGGATCACAGCATCTGCCAAAGCAGTTGCTCAGAATGAGGTTTATTCTTAGTAAGTATAATCCAATAAGAATATGTCTGTAGGTGTGTGATAGGCCTAATTTTTTCCATCATCTCTCTATCAGTCCGTGTTCTTTTTTGGATACCTATATACTGAATCCCATTTTCAATGACCGATGAAAGGATTTTCAAATGTCAGTCACATATTAAAACTAACTTTTAAAGTAATGATCAAATAAAACAGCACTGGAAATTGTCTGGAGAAAGTCATTTAACTAAGGGGGTTCTCCACTGAAGGCATTTATTTGAAATGCTTATCTAGTTCTGAAGTCAATGGAGTTATATTATTTTGTGTTGATGGAACAGTGTAATCTAAATACAATGTTTAAAATAAAAGAAAATACATATGCACCTTCTTGCACATTCACAGACAACAATAACAAAAAATAGCATGTACCTGTATTTCATTCTGTAGCTTGGAGCCCAATTCTCCCTTGGGCAAGTTTTACACTGGTATAACTGAGAAAACATTAGGGTGAATGAGGCCCTAATCTGTTAGCACAGTTCCTTAAGGATGGTTCCCTGCAGTTACCAATGACTTAATACCTTTGATTTAGAAGAAGAGGTGCAGCTGATGCAGTAAAAATACAAGCTTGGGAGTCAGGGGTAAAGGTTTTTATTTGCACTTAATATTCAGTGTCCTCTTCACCTTCCCCCACACTGCAAGTTTTGCACCAGAGTACCTTCTTTGACTTCAGCAGAGTTACTCCAGGTTACACCAATACAGGTGGAAGGAGAGAAGCAATCCTTTCAATTCTGATGATATCAAGCAGCAGTACAACATAGGAAAAAAACATATCACAAATATAGTTCTACCAGAACCAGTGCAAAAAGGTGGCAGGAAGGGTACAGGGAGGTCTAGAATTTCACAGCTTAAAAAAGAGGAAGAAACAGAACTGTTTTCTTTCTTTATTTGTCATGATTATTCTATGAGCATTGCAACAGAATGACTATTATGGTGTACCCAATATATTCTGTATCACAGAACATATGTTTTACCTGGATGTCCCTGGAGTCTTCAACCAGCAGTTAAAAACATACTGTCAAGGAGTACATACACACATCAAGATTGTTACTATAGTAGGTGGTCAGAACACTTACCGATCTCTCTTCTTTCCTGATTGCCCTGCAATTGTTACAAGTGTTTGTAGAGAGATATGTATTGACTCGATCAGCCTTACCTTCTTTCAGCATGCCAACTTTTAGACACTTCATGAAGCGGCAGGCTTGGCAGGATTTGCGTCTGCGCTTTGTGATTTCACATTCATTCGTTGCTGGGCAGCTGTATTCTATGTTACCTGGGGCACACAATTCAGAAAAAAGAAGCCAGTGAGAAATCTCAATTGACGGATCCCATTGTTATATGAACAAAACTCGTTACACTGGTGGTGTATTTTGTTTTGGAAAATACAAGCGTCAGCCAAAAAGATCAACGCACACTGGGCTACCATGTTTAAAGCACGTGAGTTTTGAAGCTAATGCTACCTGAGGAAGTAATGTGGCTAGCATCATGTCTGCCCACCTTCATCTCCTTAGCCCATTTACAGCTAGTTTGACTGGTGTCAGCATTCAGTACCAGTACCAGTCTAAAGTCAGTACCAATCTAAAGCAAGATTTCTGGATGCACACTTTTGTGGAAATGCAGCTGATATTCAATTAAAAATAAAAAATCAAATTCAGCCCCAGCTGCCTTTTTAGTTCATATGGCCACATATAAAAATGGCAGCATTAATGTGGACCTATATCCATCCTGCATACATTGCCTCAGACAAAATCCTCCAGGTAGATCATGGGTGCCAGAGGCAACAGTATTCTGTGGAAGCTGGATCAAAGAATATCCCCACTATGTTACCTGGATCAGGCCCCTGGTCCAAAAATCCCACCCAGAAGGCTTCTTCTATGTTTCTGGCCAGAGAAGGCCTTCAGAATGTAAGTTGTTGTGTCTGAGGGAACGTAAAATAAGATGCAAGAGTTGCATTGTTTTCTCTGTTCCTTTTCCACAGGTCCATAAGGAAGAGCCAGTCTTCTTCTTGATCAAGGTCTGTTGCAATTAGCAACACTAAAGTTCCATCTTTTCCCTCCCAAATGACAGGCACAAGATCTCTGACATGGGAAGACTCCACTCACAGGAGCACATTTCAGAAGGCCATAACATATGCTCCTTGCTACTCTAAGCTACCTCTTTATCCTCATTTAGGGTTTCAAGCACCACTGGACCCACAGGACCTATAAGGTCAATGTATTTAGGGAATCCAAGTATGAAAATTAAATTTGGCAACTTTCTAGATCCCTAGAAGTATGAGAGATTTTTGCCCCTTCTCCTTTGTCCCTAGCAAACAACTCAAGGCCTGGCGATCTTAATCCATAACTTTTAGCAGAGTAGCCTCTTCACTTTGTTCTGAGTATCACAGTGAGTATAAACTGCACTCAACATTTAAGCATTAAAAATTATTTCCTTTAAATGTTAAAAATTACAACAAACTTTCCCATTTTTTTGAGTATTTGAGACTGCAAAAAAAAAAAGTTCTTCTGTTGCCACAATACTTTAGTATTTTTCAGTAAAAAGCTTAGCTCTTCTGTAAATTTCAATATACCCTATTATCCACAGCTAGATTTGATATGATAAATGTTGTGGTAGTCGGAAGTTTCATAAAGAAACTGACTTTGAAATAAAGTAGCTTCCCCATCAGCTCTGTCACATCTTGCTTTAAAAGTATTTCGTTACTTTCTAACCCTTTTCCCCTGTGATTAAGTGCATTAGTATCCTAATGAAAATGCATTCTGTTTATTGCCCTCTTGGGAAGTGGGAGGTCATCACACCAAGTGCATAAATTGTCATCAGAGACAGTCCGAGCATAATTGCAATTTTGCTGCTCCATGTTTGCTGCACTCAGGGTCCGTCAAAGTCCCCTGAAACATGCGCAGATTCTAGTAATTAGCATAGAGTCTGCCTGGGACCACAGCATTGATGAAATATTTCAGAGTTAATCACACTTTGTAAACACTGATTTATATTGACTACCTTTCTCCAGACTGATGTCTCCTCATTAAATATCACATTAGTGGATTGCAGGATTGCACAAAGGCTCAAATGCTCAGCAACTGCTAATTCAACAGGAAGTAATACGTAAACCACTTATATCTATTGAAAATTGGTTAAGTATTTATGATAAAGAGGTCTGCATGGTGCAATATATGCAAGACAAACCCATCAGAAATCTCTCACTAAATTAGCATTGTAACTTAATGCATTTTTGCCAATAAAACCAACAGACTTTGCACAACCTTAACAGGGCTGGACAAGCTTTATTCATTTAGAGCATTATTGCATGGCTGAATTAGGAATGCTTGCAAAAAGAGTGCGTAATCAGGACATGTCTGATCGCTCTGGAGTCTTGCATGCACAACTTACAATTTGAATTAGGCCCTTCAGTTTCTTGCTAATAAGAAAAACACTGCTTAATACTATAGCACTCAACCTTCTGTCCTTGCAGGTCAGATGAATGGTATGGGGCCAGTACACAGGCCAGACCCCATGCAAAAGGTTGGCGTGCAAAGTTAACTGGTGCCCGCTAGATCTGGACATATGCTGGCCTCACCCCACAAGCTGGATCTAGCCTCAAAATCTAGCACACAGTGCCATGTCACCCAGCCAGCAAAGCTCCTCACAGATCAAGACATTTGCCAGCAGGGGAGCAACAATGAACACTGCCACCAAGTTTCCAGACCTGTGGGGAGACCCATGGGCCAGAAGACATGGCTTTAGGGGCTGGATATAGCCTGCAAATCAGAGTTTGAGTATCACTGGCTTATTATGTGCAGGCAATTATGGAAAAGTGTCTGTCCAGAGGACTTCTTTCTGGTAACAAAGATGGTAAAGAATATTTTGGGACCAAGGAGAAAAAGGATGTGGGGAACAAGACCTTGCCCCAAGGTCCACACTTTCCTTTCAGGCTGAACTACCTCCCTTCAATGAGATGTCTCCACCATCAGGCAATACCTACTTTCCAAGCACTTCAAAAACATTTAACTACAACATTATGTCATATAAGTTCTTATCCTTGCTCACAGAAAGTGAAACAGAGGATCAGGAGAGGCTCAAGGTCAACGGGGAAGCCAGGAACAGATGCAGGATTTGCATTCAAAACTTGCTAGCTAATAAATCTGCACGCAAAACACTAACCAATGATTCCCTTTGTAGAGCAGCTACTAATGGACGAATCTAGAAAAATTACTATCTCTATGTAAAAGTGCAGGTGTAAATGCTGAAGTGAAGTGGGGTTGAACACTGGGAGACTGGGTGAAGAGAGTAATTTTTCATGGCATACAGTTCTAATTCATTATCCTGAAGGTTTCAGCTATATTGAGAACCTTAGGAAACAGGACTAGATGAAAGAGAAGTGTGTAAAGACTATTGCACATAGCTGTCATGCCACAGCAGTGACAACTGATTGTCTCAAAATGCTGTTTATCAAGAGGGCAAATAAACAGGGTTATATGGCAACATTATTCCAACCACTGAGAATCCAATAATTTGGCAAAATAAGGAAGCTTTCTTTATCCATTTAAACTGTCTTGCTTTAATAAATCATTTTCTATATCACAAGACTGATCTTAATTTCTCTGCTGCAAGTTCAGAGCATCTGTGATGAAGTCAATGGAGTTACCCTACTCAGGATTTACTTCTACAGTGAAGATCAAAATCTCGCTTGGTTGCAAATGAATGAGGAAATCACAATTTTAGCAATAATGAACAATACTTTAAAATGTGTCCAGAGTGTAAAAGTTGTACTCAGAATCAGACAAGTCATCTCCATTCCATACACAGTTACATTAGTCTACTGAATGTCTATGTACATAGACTTAGGTTACTCCTGAGCTGTCCTTGAAGCCTCCTTGAATTTTGTTGTTCTATAAATGAAAGTGTATTATTCTAAAAATGTGCTGTCCCAAGCACCCACTAACATTATTACACCTATTTTGGTAACAGTTCAAATTTATTGCACCTTGCAGATCATAAGGTCTCTTGTTTTCTTCAGTGTACTAAAAACTGTGGAAAAGACAAAACTCTTTTCTGCAAACACTTAGCCAACTCCACAGTTGTTCAAAGTGTTGCATATATATGCTAAAGGCCATTGGAATTTAGGAGGATGTTTTATCATTCTCCGGTCCAGATTTGCTAGACAATGCTAGCGAGTGAATTGGGCAGCTACAACTAGCATAACTTGAGTTTGCCCCATTCTGTCAATAGTTGGAGAGGTAGCTGTGTTATACAAAATCAACATGGCAGCTCAGGGTCTTTAAACTGGGCTGACAAGAGGAATAGAGCAATTTATAAAATCTCCTGGCTTGTTTGCAGAAAGAACTGGCTTCTGATTACTTATTTCAAAGTCTTTTGTACAATTACTTTGCAGGCAATATAATTTTCTCACTTACTCCTTAATAGAATCTTGCAGTGAACTGGCTGATAGAATAACAGGGTATACGTAAAACTCCTGCCTGAAGTGCCAGTGGATAATTTGTATATTCCTTTCAGTAGCTTAATGGACTTTTACAGTTTGGCAGTTAAAGGGCTGAATAATGTAAATTAGTATGACGTTTCAAAATAAAAATATATGTCAAATCCTCACTTCCCACACACAACTGCCCTGTATTGTAATAATGCATTGGGATTTATATCAACCCTGAGTTCCTTTTCTTTCCTCACACACAGAAAAATGTTTATTTTAAAGCATCTGCTTATTTTGCTAATGGTTTTAATTTTATTAACTGGGCCAAAAGGCATGAAAATAGAAATGACATGTAGGGCATTACAAGGGAGATTTATCCATTTAAAAAAATAATGGTATTTCGTCTTGAGTTAGCAATTAGAATTTTAAAGCATAAGTGCATAATCTGTAGTCTGCCTGCTTTTAAATGCTTGGAGAGACAGCTTATTTCACATGGCTCACGTTTTCCACAGGTAAAAGTACCACATTTTCATCTTAAAGATAGAGATACCTAAAATAAAATAAGGCATTAGGGATTCCTTGCATGACACATGGGCCCCAAGAGGAGCTTGGAAATTGATGCAGCATGGTATTTGGAGAATGGTTGTTTTCTCAGTCAGGGTAAGTAAGTGGGTATCACTGAGATCCTGGGACAGTCTTGACAGCTACTAGTGCAAAGTGGCAGGTTAAGAAGTTTGGATGCTCAACATTCAGAGCATAGAAGGTAAAAGGTGACTACAATAAAAATGCAGGGCCTTTATGCAGTAGAACCCTATCACAAATGTAAATCTGATCTGAAAGATTAAAAG